TTGTTGGCTGGGGTGCTTATTGGACGCGTTGGGGGCAAGGTGTTGTATGACTGTCGATGAAGTGATGTGCTGTCCCGGTTGCTTGTTGCAACATGCGGCAATGCTTCGCTGTATGACTAACAATTTACTGATCTACTTTCCAGGATGTCTGTCGGACGACGCGGTATGTTGTTGTTGCATCACTGTCTACCAAGTGGTCTGTGGTGCGAGGGCCTTGTTGCATTGTATGACTGTTCTTTGAAGGATTGTTGGTTGTGCGGTTACACCAGCACGGATCTACATACATGCTAACATCTATTATAGGAAAATGTGCCATCGGCTCCTCAGCTACCTCGATGACTGTTTGGAAATTGTGTCGTAATGAAGGTGAGCGTGCTCTGCACGGATTAGTACGAGCGACATAATGAACCTGATGATCTGAGATGTATGTCGAAATTCCACCACCCCGAGTAATCAGGATGAGCTCGTGGTTGGTTGATATGGGTAGCGTACATCCGCATTCTTGATAACATCGTCTATCAACTCCAACTCCGTGTCGTTATCGTTGAATAGCTCATTCAGCTCATCACTCCCTTCAACCCGTACCGAAGGGCTGCACTTCAAGCATAGCCTCCCTGCTTGTTTTACAGGTAAACAATCTGCATGTCTCACATCGTCCACCGTATCTGTCCCGTCGGCAATTATCCCTCCGTTGTCTATCAGCCTTGCCTTGGCGACTTCTTTGATGAGCAACTTTCCAGTCGGGTTGTTGGGGTTGCGGAAGCGGGACTGCCTAGCCACACAGGCGTATGTTCCATCTGTATGGGCATCTGTTGTCTTCCATTGTTCCTCGATTTTCTGGAGCCATTGGTTATAGGTGTTTGTGTCGCGGAATCGGTCTCGAACTTTCTCCAACTCCGTGTGTAATATATGGGGCAGAGTCGCTCTGCACATTGAACAAACTTTGATTTCGTCGGGTTCTCCCACCGTTCGGACACATATTGGTGGGTCGTTTTTGAACAAGCAGCTTGGACCGATCGTATCTGGGTCTGGCATTGTGTCGTTCAAAGTTTTGATGAGTGGACTGTTGGTTGGCGTCCGTTTGATATGGAGTTCAAATTTGATCGGGTTATTAATCTTCAAGCTTTCTTTTTGGTATATCGACTTGAAGGCTCGAGATAGAGGATGTGTATTGAGTACTTTGATGTCTATTCTCTGCCATCATTCCTGGCGCTCTTTATACTCGCACCCAGTCATACGACACCTATGACTTGTGGATGTGACTCGGTTCGGGTCTATATGCATTTGACTACCAGAGGGTCTGACTGGAGCGACACTTGGAGATGGTATGACTGGATTGATCAGTGTTTCGCTAGATCATGGAATCACCACGATTCTACCGCGAACCTGCGTCGTTGTCTACAGTCAAGGTTGTTGCAAGCTTTCTTACGAGGATCTGTATTGCGTTCGTGTCATAAAGATCTGCTACTCATTTACTATGTTATATAGGCTAAGCATAGCCCTTACTACGTAAAGTTCTGCGTTACTACTACAGCATTGTGGAATCTGCTATGGTATCTACTCATTCTCTCATCAAGAATGACTTGATTGAAGAGTAGAAAAGCCGTTTCCGCATCTTTGTCGAGGGAAGTGGGTTTCCAAATCAAGAGATCGAATTTTGCTGAAACGCTCCTGTCTTGTGCACTGGACAGGTCGTTGATTGTGAAAAGATTGTGGGATTCTAAAGTCATACATCGTATGACTGTCTATGATACAAATGATGGTCGGGGCTTGCACCGTGCCCAGCACGGCTGCATAATACTAACACACACATAGGAAAGATGTTAGTCAGCGCCACTGGCCGTGAGCATGACTGTCCAACAAATGATTGTCCTAAACACGAGTACCGTGCCCTGCACGGATCCGTCCAAATAACATATAGCCCGTCGGGAGAACAAGCCCGTTGTCCGTTCTATGCACCCGCGCTCTTGAGATAAGCCTCCAATTCCTGTACGACCTTGGGGTCGAGACATTTGTCATCCAGGATAAGCCTTTTCAGCTGTGGGGCTCCATGGTTCTTCACCGCGTCCACGCAGTTCTCACAAAGCTCTGTGTCTTTTTGGATTTTGGAACAAGGGTAACACGTCATGTGGACTTCAGCTCCGCTTTTTTCCTCCTCTTGGTTGGCATCTGACCTGGCATTCATAACTCCATGAACGAAGCTTCTGCAGCTGGGTACGTTGTCATTCCAGAAGCGCTTTTGTCGCCATGCGCATGGAGTTTCCTTAGACACCTGCTCGGTCCAAAGGTCCTCAATGGTTTTCTTGAACTCTTCGTATTTGCTGTCGGTCATTGTTTGTCTTGCTGGTTCCAATCTATCCATGAGAGCTTGTGGATGGGTTACACTACAGTACCAGCAGAGGTTTTCGCCCTCAGCTAGCTTTGGTTCTTTGTTGACGGCAACTGTGACGCAAAGTTTCGGTTTCACAAACTTGCAATCCGTGACCGATAATCTGTTATCTGACGGGACTGGTAGTCCCATATTGTCGTACTATTATTTGTGCTTTCGATATCAGAGGTGTTGTATGCGTTGGAGATGGAGGTCAACTTTGGTCGTTGTGTAGGGCTTCGGAGCTCTTCGGTATATTGGCTTGAATGCTTGGAATAGAGGAATTGTATTGAGTACTTCGTGTCTATCCTCTTTCATTGTTTCTAACGCTCTTTATACTCCCCGTTCTCGCGTTCAGTCACGGAGTATGACTTCGTGGATGTGAGTAGGTTCATGACTTCCTAGGGTATCGGACTTCCAGAGGGTCTGGTCTTGGTGACGCGCGGAGAGGAAGTGACTTGTGTATCCACCAAGTCATTATTGGGGAAGGACTCGTAGGTTATCGATGAGTTGATGGTCAAGCTCGTAGCGTACGAGGGCATGAGGGAGGTCAAGTCTGACTTCCTGACACGCGTTAACGGCTCATACCGTGAGTGAAAAGGGGAGACTCAGCATCGTCAATGATTGTGGTCTGAATCACCTTGATAGATGCCTCATCGACGTGGCGACGCGGTTGGGGAGAACATATTTACCAGTGTCGTGACTGCCTGGGTGGGTCTGCCGACACTGCGTCAACAGTCGCTAATCCTTCTTAGTGTGAACCCGGAGTCTATGCGCGTCGATCTGGGAGATGCACTCACAGTCCACAGACTCATTTTCGCCCTTCAAGGCCCCTTTTACTTGCCTTCATCGCATCGTTTTGCCCAGAAACTTTGGCCAGACATTGGAAGAAAGTCTCCACAAGTAGGCAGCGGCGACACCTGGGCATCTCGATTTCCATTGGTGCATCAAGAGGCCCAAGCCTGCTTACACTACTCTGAGTGTTGAGCATCTCGATAATTACTCCGAACATTCGGTTTTGTGGTGTGGTGGGGACCATTGGTGTGGGGGCGCGAACTCAGCCTTGCGTACCTGGGTAGGCTACCCAATCATGATCCATAGATGTCAGCTTACATGCATTAGCGTCACGGAAGCCTCGAGGAACATCTCGCGTGGGGCCAATACCAACTTCCTCCTCTGTTCCACTCTACTTTTGTCGTAGTGCAATATATATCCAACAATAGCGGGGACGCTATACAATGGACATTCGCTATGGCATTGGGTACCTGTTTCGCGGACCAATGCAGTCCGCAAATGCGCGATACCGTTGCAATGTCTAAGCCACGATTGTACTTCCGACCGTCGAGCAGACCCATACTCATATCGAGGAGAATTCCTCCTTCTCTGCGCTCTCCTTCTCCTTCACCCTCCGTGGATGCAAGCCAGTTATCATGGAAGGAAATGTCGGCGCACCAAGATTGGGTGATAGTCCTGGTTCACAGCATAGCGACGTCGACGACACAGCAGATTTTGCCGACGGGCCACCCCCAGTCCAGCATTTGCGCATGTTCACCAGATACGATAAAAGCCCCCCAGGTCGTGTAAGCACGTCTATGGTACGACTAGATCACCAAAATGGAGCCATAAGTCCTACCAGGCTCCTCAATTCAGCACGCATCTGCAACAAACAAGACGACGCGCGGCCGTCTTCACGAAAGAGTAAACACCGACAGGCGGCATTCTGGAAGACTGTGGGATCAATTTTCGGGTTCTTTCTTGCAGGTCAGTCTCGTTTGTCGCAGACAAATGACTATGCTGACGGTTTTCGAGCTCTCTTCGCAGCGCTAGCACACTTCATGCTCGTCAAGCATCTCAACGGGAGACCAGTCGACACTAGCTTCCTCACACAGACACAGGTTTCAGCAGTCTCTATCTTGTTGAGTACAATCTTTAAGGCTGCATTGACTGCTAGCATGGGCATGTGTTTCGCGCAACATCTCTGGTACCTCCTACGCGGCACGGCAATGTCCCTTTCGACAGTCGAGATGCTCTTCGTCATTCGCACAGATATTCTTGCGTTACTCAACCCACGGGGAATTCGAAGAGCGCCTTTATTATTCCTCATGGCACTTCTGGTTTGGGGTATTGGGCTCGCAACGATTTACCCGCCAGGAGCACTCATTGTGGTCTTCCAAGCTCAAGAGTTCACTGAGTCCCGCAATTTGTCGGTCATGAACCCACCTCTTCCGCTTCATTTGGATCTGGCTGGGGACGACAACTTTCCTACTTTGAGCGGCGTTGCACTGGAGACAGGGGCAGCGGGAGCTCTCGTGGGGGAGCCCGAGAATCCTCCATCTCGATATTTCTCCTACGGGTAAGTCCAACATTACGACCAGTCAGTCGAAGCTGACTTCCTAGTCAACCTTTACCCGCACTGATGTCTATTGCGCAGGCAATGATTTCCAATAATCAGGTTATCACTCTCCCGAGTCATCCAGGAGAGAACTCCACTTATCGATTACAGTTCAGAGGACCACACTTTAGATGCACCACTACACAGTATGATAGCACCGTCACACTCAACTACACTCCGCCAGCTTCCCTTCTGGCACCGATTTTTACAACGGCATGGGATCAAGAACGAATGATGTACATGTCCAAGCAATACGACATTGCCAACTACAGTGCACAACGCGATCTTGACAGCGAGGCACTCGTGTGGGACGCGAATTGCGTAGTCGATGAACAGATCTGCATATCTGAGTCAGTGCTCTACAATCTTAGTGTTACGTTTCCGCGAGGCCTTCAGACAGTGTATTATTCCTTCAGCGATTCAAAAGCACTGTCAAAAAAGGTCAATTCTTTCGGGGCAGAATCATATCTAAAGATTGATCTTCCACCGAAAACGCAAGCATTTCAAGACTGGTACCAGAAACTATCAACGATTATACCTGTCTCCAATGAGTGGGCCATCCTAGATGCGATGGGGGCACTCATCGAGGGCACATCATGGAGACGGGAGTCAGTACCATCGCGTTTGTCATCGTTACCCGGTTATCCACCTCTGGAGTCCGTTTTGGGGCAACAGTGGAAGGGAGGCACAGAATGCCAGCAGAAAGAGAACTCGTCAAGTCGTACACTAGTATATGATTGCGGACCCTGGACCGATGGTATGGATTATGACACACCAAACTGTAAGTCTTCTCCATTCACTGTACAGCAATGTGAAGACTAATCAGTTTGGAGCTTTACTTAAGGGTACCGTCTTCCATACCACTCGTTTCGACCGCTATGAGACTGTTGCCGACTTCGACCCCAGACAATCGCTCAACACCACCGAAGCCATGCTCAATGAGGTATTGGCGAACATCACGATATCAGCTATCTCACTCGGCACCTGGTGGGACATGGTACCAGTGACGAGTACCAGATATCGCAGTACATACTTGCTCAGTAACCCGCTTAATATCATCCTTCCATACAGCATATGTCTAGCAGCAGCGACTGTCTTCGTGGCTATTGGAATGTGGTCGCTATGGCGCAATCGCGCGCCCGCGGTCGATGGAGGCTTCCTCCAAATCATGATGGCGGCCGTAGGCGATACGGAAATGAGCCGAGTTTTACTGGAAGAAAGAGTAGCTACAATAGATGACATGACCGATGAGTTGAAGAGCTTGGAGATTTGCTACGGTGGACTGGTGAATGAAAACACCGCGGTGGCAGAAGGCGAACGATTGGGGTTTGGCACCATGAATGAGACCATCTCGTTGAGAAAGAAGAGATGAAGTTGTTTAATTCTGGGACGTCTCGTTCGCACAACGAACCACAACGACGATGTATCTCGCATCCACGCTATTGTACAATGATGATGCCTATCCCATTATCAGCACATCTACATCCCTCATGCTAATCCGCACCCACTCACCTAAGTTGCCATCCACCGGCTCACAAACGGGATAATCGCCGCCGCACCAAAATGCGGTGCCGCAAACCCCGGCCCAGCATACTTCATCGTCACCAGCCCATCCACAAATCCATCCACCGCCAACATTGTCGCCATCAATGCCACAGCCTTTACATCACCTCGTTGCAAGAAGATGCCCGCGATGATACCAAACGTTAAGTTGCGCCCGCCCATACATTGGACGAAACCAGATGCGAAAGTGTCGGCTTCAATGGGCATGCCAAAACCGGCGGCGAATGTGGTGGGTGCGAGGAGGGCGAAGAGGCCGGTGCTTAGGAGGAAGCCGGTCACGCCGTAGTTGGCGAGGAGTTTGAGTTGATTCGACATTGCGAGAGGGTTATGAGATTGGTAGAGTGTTTCTGGCATGGAAGGAGCAATGTTGTGGTGAGGCAGGTACCTACGTAGGGAGGCTGGACGTGACGTCATGATGTTATTTCCTTTGCCGCAAACACCACATGCGTCGATACACCCACATCTCGATGCGGCCGGTATTATTGAGCGCACGTTACGATGCAGCTACCACTCTCAATGAGAATCGCAACTGTTCTAAGGTTGGCAAACTGGGTTCAAGGGCCGATGAGGGTATGGATGTGATACATTGTTCATACTGTTCAATACCCTGACGCAAAGAGCGGTGGACCGACCTCAACGCGAAACTAATGGAATTACACGACGAGTAGTCGATATGTGAAGTTGGATAGATGAGTAATCGGACAAGGAGTGTAGTTGCGCCAAGCCTCTAAATTGTGTCGCCGATGAGGAGTAGGGCCGACGTTTGCTTCCCACTCCGCACGTCTACATGCTACAGCTGGCGTTATGCGGTATTTCCGGTATATCTTGGTAAAATCCACTTCCTTAGTAAGACTAGTTCGGAGACAGAATGCCAATGCAGGCGGAAGAGCGGTGATGTTAGCAAGTCACCCTTCCTTTCAGCTGTGTTTGAAGGGTGTCCGTAGACACCGTCTCCGAGCTGCTTACGAATGGCGGAGTTTAGGTAGTTGAACAACAGGTTTTCGGATCAAGGACTTACAAGGTGTTGACAAGAAGCGCATTATTTTCCAATGGCAAGAGAGTATAAGAGTATGGCACTTTTCATCTGTTGTATCTCTCATCAAACACTACAGTTTCTACACCCGATCACTACCTATCTTCCCAAGACCAATCGCCAGCATGACTACTCGTTACGTATCCGCCCATCAATCGCCAAACGGCCCCGGTGACCAACGCCCTACGGCCTCTCAGATCATCGCAGATGAGAACCTCCAAGGGAAATGGTCGGACAAGACAGTCCTCATCACCGGCTGCTCATCTGGGCTTGGTATAGAGACCGCAAAATCGTTGTTCGAAACCGGTGCGACGCTCTTCCTTACGGCTCGAGATCTCAATAAAGCCAAGTCCGCACTCGGAAGCTTGGTAGAGAGCGACCGTGTTCACCTCTTGGAGCTCGACCTCAACTCTTTGGCCAGCGTGCGCAAATGCGCCGACTCGTTTCTGGCTCAGCACGATCGTCTCAATGTTTTCATTGGAAACGCAGGCATCATGGCATGCCCAGAAGGGCGCACCGCAGATGGCTTTGAAACGCAGTTCGGCACGAACCACTTGGCTCACTTCCTGTTGGCCCAACTTCTTCTTCCCACGTTGGTCAAATCAAGCACCCCAGAGTTCAAGTCGCGAGTTGTCATGCTTGCGTCCACAGGCCATCGCATGGGCGGTATCCATCTGGACAATCTCAACCTCGAGGGCGAATACCACCCCTGGACAGCCTACGGCCAGAGCAAAACAGCCAACATCTACACTGCAACCGAACTCAACCGCCGATACGGAAGCCAAGGTGTACAAGCGTTCTCTGTCCATCCCGGTTTGATCTTCACCGGCCTCATGACGCATATCGACAAGGAGACGATGGAGTCGTGGGATAAGAACCCCAACATCGGCAAGGCGCTCAAGAGCCCGCAGCAAGGTGCTGCAACTACGGTCTGGGCAGCTACCGCGAAGGCTTTGGAAGACCAGGGTGGCAAGTATCTTGAAGAGTGCCAGATCTCCAGCGTACTCAATCCAGACCCTGCATCCGACGAGCCCGGTTATGCGCCTCATGCGTACGATGAGGAGAAGGAGAGGTTGTTGTGGGAGAAGTCTCTGGAGTTGGTCAAGCCTTTCATGAAGTAGCTTGCGCGTTGTCTATCGTGCCTGTATCCGAAGCGCTCCTTTTGCTAGATTCTACATACTGTACTCCCTTAGCAATATACAACTGTGACAAGAACTTGTTTTGGCCCGTGTTTGTGCGAAGACCTCGCGAATTCTGTGCACAATCTGTAAAACCATCACACGCGATTTGGTGATACGTGAAGAAGCGACTGCTTCGAAGTGTTGAAAGACGCGGTTGCGCATTAGCACGAAGATTTCGTGAAGTACGGTCTTGAAGATACGACACGGCATTGCGCGTATAGGCTTCGTCACGTGCGCAGAGTATTCTCCATCCCTAGGTCGAGTGATGTAGACTTGTTCGATGTCTCCAGAGCGAAATCCTTCGACGCCAAAATTGCTGTCAGAATTTCTCTGGGAGAAAGAACGTCCCGCTGCCCGTAACGTTGTAGCCGTGTCGTGTCCACGGGTCCCGCGGACCCCACAGACGGAAGTAGACAAGGGGGAATGCTTGGCGGATGAGTGGGGCACGCGAACCCAACGCGTGGCTGCCAGCTCGTCCGCCTTCTGCTCCCTCTCGCACGCCATAACATCAATACACGACTACCTTCATCATGTGTCTGAGGCTTCTTGTTGTCGAATCACTTTAGAAGATGCGGTTCTCTCTGCACTAGCTCCAGATCTGGGATAACGCTGCAAAATCTGCTCAGACATGGCGCGTCAGGAAACCAGCGGACGGCGCTCACTCCCTAACTCCGCAATCCTCTTCAGCCGCCAACCCGAGTACTGCACCTTTAGATAAAAGATGACAAATGATTCCATCCGAGTTCAGCAGCGGTGGGGCGTCGGACGAATGTCCAAGGCTACCTAGGTAGGCGTACATGGGCTCCTTTTCATCGCGTAACTGTGGATTACTCAGCGGATAGTGTTCGCTATGATGGCGAATATCGAGGTAATTAGGCCTCGGTGCTTACCGGCCTGGGTGGCCTGAGTGCTTACTGAAGAGCGGAGTCGACGACAGAAGCAACAAGAATTGCTCGGGCGTAGCCAAGGCCCAACAAACAATGCACGATCAACCTGTACAAAAAGGAAGCAACCTTCTTTTTCGCTGCAAGGGATGTACACAGATAAGGGGTTCTTCCATCACCGACACAGTACTCAGAGACAGTGTGCCTTTCAACATCAACTCAGCTCTTCCGAAAAGCCCTCGATCAAATACCAGCTATGAAGCACTTTCGCGCCAGGATGAAGCCCATGTCCGTCATCTCAGCCCTTGTGGCCTCGACATTTGCCACGAATGTTTCGACGGTCTACCAGTTTCCCAACGGCACATGGGCCGAAAACATTGCTGCGATGGGCAACGGCTCCCTTCTCGTAACAACTCTCGACGCTGCTCAAGTGCATATCGTCCACCCGCATGGCTCACCCGCGAGTTCCTCCGTCATCGCCACTTTCCCGAATGCAACTGGCGCCCTAGGAATTACCGAGTTTCAAGAGGATGTCTTCGCTGTGATCGTTGCGAACTCAGTTCCTGGAAACACGACGAATCCACAGAGCTTTTCGTTGTGGAAACTTGATGTGACTGTCAAGGACGAGGCAGTCAAGGTCAGCAAGATGTCTGAACTGCTTGACATGGCTATGCCTAATGGCATGGCGACATTGAATCACGGAATGTTGCTGTTGGCAGATTCGATGTATGGAAACATTGCTGCGTACAACGTCAGCACTGGGAAAACGGAAGTCGTTCTCGAGGATCCTAGCTTAGCAGCCAATCTCTCTGCCCCGGTACAGCTTGGTGCCAACGGGATCAAATTCCACAATGACTACGTATACTACACCAACACCGCCCAGTCTCTGGCTGGCCGCGTTCGAGTCCACCCATCTACTGGCAGACCCAACGGCTTTTTCGAAACCGCGCGCGACTCAACCTTCAACGGTCCTGACGATTTGGCAGTTGCGAGGGATGGCAGTATGTACGTCTGTGCGCCATTGGCAGCACCCTTAGGCGACAAAATTCAGCACATCGAACTGAATGGCAAAGTCACGACTATCGCTGAAGGTGAATTGGTGGCAGGCTCTACGGCGTCGATATTCGGAAGAACGGACAAAGACAACAGTACCCTTTATTTGTCTACTATGGGTGGCTTTGGAACGGATGGAACAGCAAAGGCTGGTGGGAGGGTTGTTGCGGTGAAGCTGCATTAGCAGTACCTGGGATGAGTGAAGCCCTCGGAGTCGAGATGGTGCTTCGGGGGTCGGGGTTTACGACAAATGATAATTCTTTACAGTGGATGCACTTTTAAGATATTTAATCCTAGTCTAAGGCATATACGTTTCAAGAGGTCGTGACTTTGGAACTACTAGCGTCTGTATATAGAAACGGCCGGTAGCAAGGCTTAAAAGTCAAGAGTCTGCAAGCACATCTATTCACTTTGATGGACTGTCTCATATGACCCACTTTACAATGACATAATAGGACATATGACATGGCCGCAACGATTTGTCAAAGCTACAACTCTGCCACTACACAGTTCTCTCCGGTACATTACTCCCGCTTGAGCAAGAGCTACATGTCCGGCCCCCAACACCTTCCTTTTCATATATCACACAAAGTGCGATTTGAGGGCGCCACCTCATCTTTGCAGCCGATGAATCTCCTCACTACCTGCGCTATTGCAGTTGTCGTTCTCGCGATAGCCTGCATCATGTACAGCTTCATTATTACCGCCATCGACAAAGCCACACACGCCAAACTCCACGCCCCGACAACAGATCGCCGTCGCATGCGACGCAAGGCCGTTGGACATAGGGGTAGGCGTCTTGGGGCAAGTAGAACCTTGCTTTCTTCGCTGACAAAGAGCTACATCATAGCCAGCGACGCCAAATTTTTATACGCCCGACAACGAGATCCTCTTAAAGTACATCGTTTTACAAAACAGGAACGAATCAAGTTCGGTATAAGCACGAAAAAGGAGAGAGAGGAGGAACTTCCCGACGCACGATGATGCATGAAGCTGGAATACACAAGAGACAAGGATACATCCGACTGGAACGGCGCCCAAGTGGTGAGATGCAAGCTGCATAGATATCTGGAATATTGAGGGGCTATAACAACATCAATGAATGCCATCGTTAGCGTTATGGATTTGACCTCAGGCTTTACCTTCGTCATCGCTGGATAACTCATCTTATCATTTCCTTGCAGCGTGTTGCCTCAAGGCGAAAACATCGAAGCCCTTTATCCCGAACGTTCACATGGCAAAAAGAGCAAGGCTAAGCCAGCCGCACGAGATGGAGCAATAAGACAGAGTTAGAGGTGATGTGGTGAATTGCTACAAACCGCTGCATCGGACCGTAATGTTGGATAGCAGTCGCGCAGCCTCTCCGTGCCTTGCGGCAAAATCTACTCTAGCTCCAGGTACAAAGCTCTCAGCCGTTTTTCCCTCGAGACCCACGAATATGGCCTGTTATCGCACAGCGTTGTCTCTTAGTGTAAGTCCTCTAGCAAGTGACGGAGATACCCTTGATAGGGGGGCCAAGAGCGTAGCACTCTCCAGTTATGGTGACATTGGCGAACTGGTTCACGCTGGTGCATGTGGCATCTGTCCAGATAGCCACTACATCTCGTTAGCTCTGCGCTTCTCTTCACAGCCCGAGTTGTGGGGCCGAAGAAGACTACGTACCCTTGCAACCAGCGTTGGCATAGTTGAGCCTCAAGCTCGCTTGGCAAGCGTCGGTGATGGCATTGCATCCGGCGTGGAGATCCCCCGAACCAGCCTTGTTGCATATGGTGCTCCTGCAGCCAGCACCAGCATAACGGTCGACGGAGGCAACAGCAGCGACCTGGCGAGGCGAGAAGTCGGAGGCAGGGGAGGCGGTGGCCAGACCAAGGGCGGCGACGATGATGGTGAGAGCGTACATCTTGGAAGGTGGAAAGATTGATGAGTGTAAGAGTTGAAGAAAGGATTTGTGATTGTTGGCTGGAGATGGTTGTAGCAATGAGCAGAAGGAAAGGGCATTCTTATACTTGTGATCACCCACAACTCAGAAAGATGTCCATCAAGCGAAGCTGCAGTCTTGAGGCACCAGCAGCTCTTCGGATCATCGGGAGGCATAGCCTCATCCTTCGGTGTGTTGTCGCTGTTGGTGACGAGAGCTCGGATGTACAGCAGTTTATGGCCTACCTCACGCATGGCCAAGAGCGTCAGCGTAGCATCAATGCGATTATCAAACGCCAATAGCGAGGCCAAATAGCTGACTGAGTTGCCTATGGCTTGTGCTAGCAGACGTGGCTCTTGCGGAGTGTGGACTGTGACGCACCAACGAGCGGTAAGACGGTCTAGCTTGCAACGATATGTGATATCCGCGGAAGGAGCTCCGGCGTCATAGGCGATTGCTGAAGGCATTTGGTATCGCTCCGGACAGTTTGGTAGTGACTTGCGTGGTATTTTACATAGTAGAAGACCGTTGCCGGTATGGAGCTAATTCCGTAGATGCAGGAAAGTGGTACGCATTCCATTGCTTCTCCATACCCGAATAAGTCAGGGCTCTGAAAAGTCTTTGCAGGACGGCCGAGGCCATGGTAGTACAGCGTTAATACCAATTTGGCGCGACATAACAGAGGGTTATGCTCTTCTCAGCGGTGGCGTGTTTGTTGTGGGATGATAGGGCCACAGTGCGCATTTCCCATGCATCTTAGTGGTAGGTACTCCGACTCAACGGAATCTCTAACACTTACGTACGCTAGGCTACCCAATGAAGGGCTACGCAACGCCGCGGGTGTCGAACAAACCGAACGTATTGGCTGACGAGTTGGCAACCCGGGACTAAACTCATCTTGCAGTCTTGAACGTATACGAAGAAGATCGGCCATCGAGCTGATCATAGGCAGTCGAGCATCATCGAGATACCATCGAACCCTGCAGCTATATCAGTTGGTTTCCACACATTCAAGATAGGCATGATGCCATGCAGACTCCCTGTAGGTACGATCGCGTGCAGGCTGACACATGGATCTAGTTAGTTGTTACGACGAACACTGCCGAGTCTGTGCTAGTCATAGCCCCAGTGTTCGTCTTCAACCGCCTGGACCTCATCCTAACTCTGCCATGCGTGGTCATCTGGTAAGAATCGCTATAGGAGCGAGAAGTCCTGCAAGCCTTACTAGCAAGTTCGCATGCCAGGTGTCTCAACAAGCCTTCCGGGGACTAGCCTTCGGGCCACACGCATCTGGCGGGCCGAGCCTGTTGTGTGCTTCGGCTGCCGCTTACTGCATCGCGTCTGCAGTATGTAAAGCTAAAATCCCAATTCCAATGTTTGGAGTTGTACTTCCACGTGGGCCAAGCTATCCGCAGGCTCAGTAGGGATAAGATCCCTGAAGTGATCTGTAGCCATGGCAGGCAAACCTGGTCGTATACCCAATTCCTCTGCTCATCCAACCGACAGATACTGGACTGGGTAAGATTAGAGGTGTCCGGCCTAGACGCGATGGTAGAATGACCGGGTAAAGTCGGTCTCGCATAATGGGCGTGCATGCAGACATCGTATTTGACCTGTCAACCTGGTCTGTGGGTGCATAGGCGGTGGACGCCGGATCCCCGTCCACCAACAATGAAGCTATGTGATTAACACGCTGGGTAATGAGCTCGGATCGAGAAGGATGAACAGCAGGTTCCTCACGAGATGCAAGACAGTCTTGGCATCTGGTGTAGATGGTTGGCGGTCTGTGTGCGGGCGTCTGACTGCTGATGCGGCGTCGGACAGTGATACGCGTTCGGCCTGAGTTACAAAGCATTGATCACCTCGATCTGACCACCAAACGCGTCTGTCGGAACTTTCTCGACCGTATCATGTTGACAGCGTGCGATGGATGCGTGGGAGGAAGGAAGCACCGGGGCCGCTGTCTGCAAGGGCCGTCTCGCTTACGGCTTAGTAAGCCGAATCATGTGATGTTCTAATCTCGACGCGTCCACGGGTAGAGTTCAACTCCCATCACAATCACCTCTCGAGACACTTCCTTATCCTCGCGCAGCCTTGGAAAGATTACAAGGCAACCTCAGACATGCATTCCTGCGACCGTGCACAACAAGGGCTTGGGAAATTACGATTATGGAGAAGTGGTGCTTGCAGCAGCTTCAGATCAGAGCTTCGCGGGTGCTTCTGTCGGTCCACAGCAGGTGAAACTGTAGCATGAAGTACAAGAGCAATTAATATGACAGATAAACACAACGATCCCTCGTACCCTTCGCTTCATACTAGATTTGACGCCTGAACCTCTTCAATGGTCTTTGTTGATCGGCCGGTTGATCAGGATCCCAGCCAACCAAGCAATTCACAGTCTCCGCTCCAAGCCCAGGGTCGTTGATGCGGTCGCCAGTCGGCATGCGGAATTGTCCCATAAGCTTGACATACGAGTCTAGCGCATCGACCATAGTCTTTCCAAGAGCCAGAGCCTTCTCAGCCCTAGTATGCGAATAGAAAGTCAGAAGCTCTAGCGCATCTTCCCGCATTCCGTTGTCCACCAAAGTCTTAGCGCTGCGCTCAACCCACTCCATGTCTGCGAATGACGCGTTCTCAAATCCGTGGAGCATGTTTTGGACGATGGGTAGGTATGACTCCGGATCTGAGCAAGTGTAGTAGAGGACCTGCTTGAAGATGCGTCCGGCGAAGTGCGTGGCTTCTTGGTATTGGTAGTCGGTATCTAAGAAGGTGGATGCGGCATCTTTGTAGAGATAGCGATGGAGGCCGTACTCAGGTGGCACGCTCTTCACACCCAGCCACCACGGGTTGAAGGGTGCCGTCACAGATCCGGTTGGAGCGACCCAGATGCGAATCAGATCCGGGTCCATGTCTGCGCGAAGAGACACTACTTGGCCATATCCGGCTTCATCATCTGAAATACGGTAGTCGCGAACGCGCTCGATCAGGTCTTTCTCGGTCACCGGAGCCATTGCGCGGGTGGCGTTCTCAAGAGCCGCTTGAGACATGTACTTCGCACCTCCGTCTCGCGCAGTGTATCCCTCCGCTTGGTAGGCATACGCATTGAAGATGTTGAACGGCTCGGTGCCGTTCGGATTCCACCAGCCCTGTTCGACGGCAAAGCTCACGATGTTCGGGCTACCCATGTAGTCTGTACTGTTTTCGAAATCGACCGGGAATTCCTCAATGTAACCTGGGTAAAGCACACGTACGTCGTTTTCGCCGAGACGTTCTGCAGCCCAAAGGTTCTTGCCTCCTGACATCTGCCATACAACCCAGCCTTCGTTCGCATCTGCGATGAGATGCGAGTTACCTCCATAATCGGCATATCCGTATTCTGCAATCATCTGGCCAATGAGCTCAACACCTTCGCGGGCGGTGCTCGCGCGTTCCATAACAATACGAGCTAGGTCGGAGTATTGTAAACCTGTCTGAGGGTTTGGCGTCATGGCAATAAGATCATCTCGGTTTTGTGCCCAGATGTCCCTAACAGCGACGCCCTTCTCATTCACACCACCATTCGTCAGTGGAGGTGGGAAGCCCTCGAAGTCGGAGTATTCCATCGAAAGATAGCGGAATGTGTGCGGCACTTGGGAGATGTTCATCAGTTTTCCAGGCATCGATGCGTCTTCGGTAACTCCAACTGTGATTGTCGCATTCGGGGCGTGATCTTTTGCTGGGAAGATCTGAAGCCAGTGCGAGGACACTTCTTCTCCGGTGCCACCCAGCATAACACTGCCATCCTGCGTTAGGTTCTTTCCGACGTAAAATCCATAGCTTGCTCGGGCGGGCTTCGCGAGGCTCAGAAGCCCTACTGCAAGAAGCTGTGTAAGCATGTTGCCGTCCGGTGGTAAAGATGAAGAGGCAAGAACATCGAGCAAGTATCTCGGAGTTTTTTTTGCGGATTCTTTCTCACAGCAAGGGTGGGGGTGCTCGAAAGCGGTCCGACTACGTCAGATAACTCCGACACGGCACATTGCGGAGATCACATCGACTGGAGAAGGTCAAGCTTGTGGTGTTGGAGATGCGCTATGCAGGAACCGGTTCGGTGGGCCTTGGCACCTGAGTCGTGAACTACTGTTCGGAAATATTGTCGGGCGCGGCGGCCGCTTATCGCACACGTGAGTCCAACGACCGCTATGGCTTCACAGCTGCCTCATCCTTGACTGCTAAACGTTGCAACGTTGTGATCCAGCGGTGTTGAGGAGCGCGTCTCGCAAATTGAGGAGGCGGGGTTGATTCGCAAGCCACTACGCTAATCATGCGCGAAGGAGCGGGTCGTCGGGTCTGACTCTTTCGTGTCGTTTGAACTCCGTCGCCAGCATGCATCCAGATATCTCCGTGCCAATGAGTTTATGATGCGGTGGGTTTAATCGCTATCGCTCAAAGTGACTCATAAAGGCTCATGTCTTCCGCATGTAGCAATCTCCATCACCACAACGGCCATCGTGAGGTTTTGCAGGGCTTGCGATCTCGAAAGCAGCGTTATGTTGGTGCCTGGAGGGACCGCGAGAGCGATGAGGTAAGTCTATGAGCAGACTAGGAAGGCGAAAACGCCCTCGCCATGTTTTGCGCAAATTGCGCCCTTGAGAAAGGCGTTGTGTTGGTATCCGGGAGGATCGCGAGGATGGTAAGCTACCTATTCTTGAGTGCATACGCTAGGCAGACACATCGACCTGTAGGAATGTGTATAAGTATCTGAGGCATCCAGGCTGCAACATAGCAGACTCACACTTCTCCTCTAGAGTATCTAGGTATCTCAATCCCTCGAATTATCATCGCATCTTTGTCATCACTACCACCTGCAATGGCTTCCGGTTCGGCGCCCTCTACTATCCCGCGTCAGCGCATCCGCGATCTGTTACCAACTCTGCATCTTGGTCGCTACCAGCCCGGCCCAAAGAACAGTCTGACAGATATTCCCGGTGTACTCGTGCACACTGAGTCCATCCATTCATCTCCTGCTTATCCCGATGTCCCACCGAACGACATCAACACTGGCGTGACGACCATCATTCCGCGCAAGGACTGGTTTCACAAAGCTTGTTTCGCAGGCATGTTCCGCTTCAACGGCTCTGGGGAAATGACTGGAGCGCATCTGATCGAAGAGATGGGCCTTCTTTTCTCCCCAATCATCATCACGGGGAGCTTTGGCGTTGGCTCAGCGTACAACGGCATCTACGAATATGCGATCCGTGAGAACTGCGACAAGAATGGAAAGGTCGATTGGTTCCTATTGCCTGTCGTCGCGGAGACCTTTGATGGTTTCCTGCACGATGTGTCCAAATTTGCTGTGACACCGAAGCATGTCGTAGATGGCATCGACAAAGCAAGCAGCGACCCTGTGAAAGAGGGAAACACGGGCGGTGGAACGGGTATGATTTGCCATTACTTCAAGGGTGGCACTGGATCCAGCTCTCGTGTAGTGCCTGGTGAGGATGGCAAGAGTTATGCAGTCGCGGCTCTGGTCCAAGCGAATTACGGCAAGATGTGGGATCTCAAGATCGGAGGTGCGCCGATTGGGAGACTCATCTATGAAGAGCAGAAGCGAAAGATTGAGGAGAACCCTGACGATCCAGAACTACTGGCACAAGCGAACCTACTGTTCAAGGTGAAGAAGGAGAAGGACAAGAAAGATGGATCCATCATAATCATCCTGGCCACGGACGCGCCGCTTCACCCGCAACAACTGCAAAGGCTCGCCAAACGCGCGACTGTCGGATTGTCTCGCGTAGGTGGCTACGGCACGAACTCTTCCGGCGATGTCTTCCTCGCGTTCTCTACCGCCAACGAGTTGAACGTGCAGACAGTCACAGCGGGGCAAGCATCTGTCGATCCGTACAAGGCGAGAGAGGTATCGGTGACCATGACCGACGATCAGACAATCAATGCCTTATTTGAGGCGAGCGCTGACGCAGTCGAAGAAGCAATATACAATGTCCTGTGTATGGCGGAGACAATGGACGGTAACGGAAACAAGATTGAAGCGCTGAACCTGGAGCGCGTGAAAGAGCTGATGCAAAAGTACCTGTAGCGTAGTGCATACTTCCGAAAATTGACCCCCATTTGCTCGATATGATGCGTACAGAACACTGTTATTTTGGGGCGTTTCCAAGCCCATCGTCTGCAGTAGCTCGTGTAAGGATTGGGCAGTCGTACTAATTTGGATAGTTCAAGAGAGCCTGATATTTGGCCAAGGACGTGGTGCATGTGTCGGTTGCTGTACCCTTTGATGCGATTTGACAGCTGTTGCTTGTGTAGCGTGGATCGTCATGCGTGATCCAGGCACGAGCCTCATGATTGATGGCTGAATGCTCCAAGTCGATGAACAGGATCTGAGTGCACGTGCTTAGCACGACGGCCACGAGGCTGCTCGTTTCACAACATGGAGATCAGCAGCTTTGCCAGCGCCAATGGCAAGGCTGCGCGAATCTACCATGGCCATGATCAGCAAGAGTGTGTGTGGGGAAAGGGTACCGATCCAAGCGAAGAGACATTCCCTACTCATCGCGCGGAGGTGTGGCGCAGAGATGCACGGGAACCGGGAAGTCGTGTGGGTAAGCTAGAGGCTGGCGAGATGGCGCGCCGCTGTGTCGGAGATGCACGAACAGTCTAGGCCTTTGGCCTACATAAGAACACGATCGTCGAGCAGCTTTCGATCGGTAAACCCCGGTCGTGGGTTACACACTCAAGAGACACTGTAGTGCAGATGATGGCTTCTGACTGGAACAGGGAGGTGGAAAGCAATTCCGTAGCTGCTTCATGTATTTGAGTGGTGGAAGGGCGGTCAACTTTAAGCTTCCCGGGAATCATTCCCTCGGCAGATAGCGCAAAAGATCATACGTTGATTCTGGAGCGCGTATAGCTGGATTGAGCGGCAACACACTGGTAGTGAGTGTTTGGGCCACATGATTCGCATCGTTGTCTTTGCGTGGTGTTCTGAGGTCTGGACACAGCGCGGTGCTGCTGCTGATGTCGGTAGCACGCTAGAGAAGGCCGATGCGCTCAGCAGCAATAGCGAAATGAGATGAACAGCAGCAGGACCGAGCCGTCTTAGCAATACGTGCTCATGGAAAAACACAAACACCATGGGCGCGTCGTGTGGCGGCGTCTTGAATTCCCATGGAAGTTCTTGCCCTGTGGCAGAAACCGGCTACTGCCACTAGCGTGTGTCAAAAGTGGGTCCGGGCTGTGACGTTCGAGGCTCTCCCAGAACACCCTTCTTTTCATCTACGCGGTCTGGATCACCGGCCACGACTGCGCGCTACCCTATAACGTCCATCTCAGCTTCAGCCCGCCTGTAAGGCCATAGTCGCGGCATCTGTCATGCCGTGTGGCAGCGCTCATATATGCCATTTGTCCCTTTTCCCATCTTCTTCCACCACAGACGTCACCCCTCATGGCGATCCCTACCTTTCCGAGTTCTTCTGTCCCAGACCTCACTGAAGTCTTGGAGCGACTTGGGCTCACTCAGTATGCTCAGGTGCTCGCTGAGAATGGGTTCCACAACTGGGAGACGGTTGTAGACATCACGGAGGACGATTTAACAGCGCTCGAGTTCAAGCTTGGCCACAGGAGATTACTACAGCGAGAGATTGCCACGTACCGCGGCATCCCTCAATCACTATCACTGGAGCCAGAAAATAACTCGCCTGAGCCGACGTCATTATCGACCTCCGCTTTGGAAAGTTTCACCAGGCAAACAACGTCCCTGCCACCACGAGAGAAGAGGAGGTACAGGCGGCATCCGCGGGCAGACCCAAATGCGCCAAAGAAGCCAAAGACAGCATGTACGCTCTTCGCACATGATATCATCAGGACTTGATCTAACTTGTTGTCAGATGTAAACTTCGCCGACCAGCTTCGTACCGACCCTGAGGTCAGCCAACTATCCTTTGTGGATATAGCTCGCGAAGTCGGTCGGAGATGGCAGGAGCTTCCTTCAGAGAGAAAGCGTATCTGGGAAAGCAATGCGGCCCGAGCCATGCAAGAGTTCGAAGCCCAAATGGACGACTACAAGAAGACGGATAACTGGCGAAAGTATCAGGCCTATCTGAACGAGTTCAAGTCGCAACAATCAAGTCCGAGCATTGGCAAACAGCGACCGACGAATAGTCGCTCAACGACCGACACTTCTAACAACACGAGACAATACTCACGTGCTAGCCCGAGCTCTTCAGACAGCCCGGTATCTCTCCAATCAAGCAGCATATCAGCCGGACCCGAAGCCGAAGCATGCCACAATGCTCTGACGCTGGCCTTCAGTGAGTTGGTCACCCTCAGAGGCGAGATACTCAATGGATCCGGCCAGCAGTTCAGTCAAGCATTTTTGCCGACCGAGGATCGTGTTCGGCGGTCCATGTACGCGTTCGTGCAAGGAACTGGGTCGCTGCTCTTCATGTGGACTTATGATGAGGTTAATGAGATACTTGACCGTATCTACCGGCCCCAAAAGAAGGTGGACGACATGACACTTGCCGAATGCTTCACAGTTGCTGCTATGGGCGCGCATTACGACATCGATGCCTACCCTGATCGGATGCGCCGATTGCTCTACGCATCTGGGACCCTTCATTTCAACGAGCAGACTGCCAGACAAGACTATTTCCGCACAATGCGCTTGCTATTATCTTTGTCCTTTTATTCTTTGCTCGAGAAGCACATGAGCGCCAAGTATCTTATCGGTATGTTCAACTCGTACACTTGATCATGTGATTGTACTAACAAGCCACAGCTGCAGGACTACAGATCGCCCGTTGGAAGTATCCGGCTCTGCAAACTTCGTCTCGCTCAGCAACGGACGACCACTGGAGAAAGATATTCCGTAGCCTCGTATTCATGGATTCATGGCTTGCCTACACCCTCGGCTATCCCACTGAGGTGACAGCCAGTGACATCCAGGTATGCCAGGGCGAGCCTATATTGATTTTCATGATACTAACATGGCTAGGTCGCCTGCATTGCCCATCGCCAAGATCAGCTGTCCATCGATGAACTCATACACATGCAAACCAGCAAGATCAACCTGATAGCCGCCGAGGTTGCCAAGACACTGGCATCTCCAGAGCTAGCTACCAAAGGGAACATCACCATGCTCACAATGAAGCTGGAAAAGTGGCGTGAAGAAGTTCCGCAAACGTTACAGATCCCTACGCTTCTGTCTAGTGCCGCACAAGACTTGACAGTCTTCCAAAGGCGAGCGGTCTTTATGTTGCACGTAAGGAGACCTTCCATCTTCTTGTATCATCATTTTATTGACTGATTCAGATCATGTATCTTGGTGCACTGGTCCTGCTATACCGCCAGCTACTAGTGGCTTCAGCAGAAGCCCAGCTTATCGACGGAATTCCATCTGCGTTGAATAACATTTCAGTCGAAGATGTCAAGATATACCGACAGGAATGTGCAATGGCTGCCCAGAACATTGCTCGCATATTGAGCCTTATCTCTTTTGACGGTACGCTGACAACGCGTTGCTGGATCATGTAAGTTCGTATACAAAACCCGAACACCCCACGAACTAACGATCATAGTATTTACTGGGCATTCTCAGCTGCCATTTGCCTGCTCTTCAGCGCAACGACTAAACTCATGGACGGTCAAACTGAAGGAGTCGAAGCTGATCTCACGTACGCCAAGTCGTGCATGGATATGCTCGAGCCATGTAAACCATGCGAACCCGTCGCCGCGCGATACCTGGAGACACTCTGGCCCCTATACGACCACTTGCAAGATGTCCATCGTCGGATGATCGGTCGATCAAAGAGCAGCATCTTTGCCATCCTGCAGCCTGATCCGAGTCTGTTGAGCCCACCCATACCTGTGTCGAAGCAAGAGATGGGCCCGATTTCAGAGAAGCTTACAATGCTACTTACGGATCCTTTCGGGAGGAAGCAGACTGCCGACGGCACCCAACGACGCATCCTTAGCAACGATGGGTCGTACTCAGTTTTCTGGTTTAGGTGAAGAAGGCTTCGCTGATATTGTAATGTTTTATCATCGACCAGAGGATACCGGCGGCACGGTCTGGCCAAACAAATCTTAGAGTTCATCAGAGCTACCGTTCTCGATATCGAAGTGCAACAAACCACAAAAGGCCGATGCATAGCTTGTCCGTTATCTGAAGTCCACTGGTAGCCAAGTCCGATAGACGCAAAGTCTACATTAGCTGCAGTCGTTTCTTACAAGACGAATCTGTCATGCTACTAAATATGGCATCATTCTCGAACGCTTGTCACTCCGGCGTGCGCTACAAGACAATTGATCGATAGCGCGACTGCACGTTTCAGTCGTTCCTGACTAGCAGCCAAATCGACGGATTACAAGCCGATGCGCCTGCACGTCCCAGGGGTCTCCTACTGTACTGGTGGGTGAGCGTGGGGGAAGAACGAAGACCGGAAAGGGGGAAGAGGCGTCGATATCAGCCGTGGTACTGGCTGGGCAACGTCATCTCAACAGCGAAACTGATAGTTTGCACCACGATAGTGCATCTCAAGCAGGAAAGTTGAGACTGCATCCTGCTGTAGCGTCGATCACGGGAGCGCCCGTCCTCCGTAGCGCAAACGCCATCGTCAGCCAATTCCCACTCAGCCCGTATCAGCCTGTATCTGAATCAATCATTGTAGCGTCATGAAAATTTCACCACCAATCTTCCGTTCCACGCAAACATTTCTGTCCTGTCATTGTAGCATGTTGCGATGTTGACGGGACGCACCCTGTTCACGGCCGCGGTACCAGCAAGCGATACGCGTAATTCGGCTCCATATTTCATAAACCGAGCGATATCGCCAGCGACGCAGGGCCGAATAGTTCGCAGTGCAGGTGTAAGAACCATTCGCACAGAGATACAGGCGGTGCGTCCATGACATCTGCAAGTCGAGAGATGGCGCAGCTGAGGTGGTGATGTCGGCCGCTACGCGCTTCCAATAGTGCGGCAGTTAACAATGTCGCGATATCTAGTGCCTCTCGCGAACCCTTGGGCTAGCGACTATCTTTATCGAAACGTGTTTCAGCGGGGTCGTCCTTGTCAACCGA